AGCGACGGCCACTCTAGCGCGTGAGTAATCACCAAATCGTAAAGAAACGGAGTGTTCTTCTTCCAAATCTTGTACTCCTCGTTAATTAGCCTCTCCTCAATCTCCCCCCTCAATTCGTCCTCGTCTCTCCCCATTTTTTCTTTTCTTCTTCTTGGTTCTTGAAATTGAATGCCGTTAGACAAAAATCAGAAAAATTCAAGTCTGAATTATAAGTTTCAACAAATTATGGCTTTCTCTGGGGTAGGCGGCGGTGGGGTTTGGGATGTATCGGCGTGGATTCTAAGAGGTTTGGAAAATTGGAGGGAACTAGATTATTCCAGCGGCACTGCCCAGTTGCCTTTGGCCTTTTTAGGCGCTTTGCCATGATAACTATACAGTCGACTATGACAAATACGGAATTTCATTTTTACGTATAAAGTCTTTATATTAATTTGAATTTTCTCAAAACATTTTCCTTTTTATTTTAAAAATTTTAATTAAATATAAGTTAAAAGTAATTTTTTTCTTTTCTTTTTTCATAAATTGATTACTTAACGCTATTCTTCATAATTACATTGCACGAAAGGAGATTCCTTGAGTTTTTTTTTTATTTCAAAGTGATATTACAATTTTAGACAGTGAATCATATACTAAAAATTAGATTAAACACGGTTTGATTTGGACGATTTGTGATAAATTTTCAAATCAAACCATTAAATGCGGTTTGAGATTTTTTTTCAAATCAAACCAATCCAAACCACTTTTTGATTTGATTCGATTTAAACAATATATATATATATATATCGATTGAGTTAAATCATAAATATTAGTTTAAAATTTCACATTATAACATAAATAGTATCATTAAAAATATTGCAAACAAAAGTTGTATAATTCTATTAATTGTAATGCAACGATATGATAAAAATATTTTAACATCTTAGTCGATACTAATTGATGCAACATCTGCAATTCACTCTCCATAAAAATAAAAATATAGTACATAGATTCATTGATTACAGTTAAACAATATAAAATAACTAATACAAGAAAACAAATAGAAAGATCAAATATGATAATATCTTCTATAATTTTTGTGAATTATCCAATACTTCTACATCATCTACATATTGACAAATCACTATAGATTCATTGTTACTATGCAACCAATTTTTAGGAAAAATCATCGCCTCAATCATATTTTCACTCAACGAACTTCTAAAGGAATCAAGAATCCGACCACTAGTAGAGAATGTAGACCCAAAAATAATTGTGGGCATTTGAATAACTAATACAATTTTAGCAATTTGGATGACAATCTTGTATTCATTTGTATTCAATTTTTAAGATGGAACTCAAATCTTAACATGATATCAGAATCCATAAAATTTTAACGAGCAATTCGATCCGATAAAACTCAAAAAATGAGCACCCAAATTTTAAAATTGGTTTACTCAAACGAGACTTCATCTTGTCGGAACATGTAAAATGATAAATTTCACGTCGAATAAAAATGAAAATATAAACCAACATATAAGGAGTTCGACTATTTCTCTTAATAAGATTAAATTTTGAAAATAGAATCTCAAATCTTAACGACGTCTGAGCAAGAATCCAAAAATAAGAACATACTTCAACAACACAAGATTTGTTTATTAATAAAGATCAAGAAAGCTTGTGTGAAAAATCCTTAAATTTCAAGTCTTTATGTAAACTTGAATCAGTCTTGTTATTCATTATGAACCTAATTCATGATTGAAAATTATCATTATTAAAATAAAAATATTCAGTGAAACAAAGCATAGAGGGAGCAAGATGTGACCTCACTCAAATTACTTACAAATCACAAATGCTTCAAAGTCCAAAGGTTTATTAGAGAAATGATGGCGAGTTGAAAAATCTTTAAATTTCAAGTCTTTATATAAACTTGAATCAGTCTCGTTGTTCATTATGTACCTAATTCATGATTGAATTAAAATAACAATATTCAGTGAAACAATCATAAAGGGAGCAAGATTTGACTTGAAATAATAATATATATAAGGACTAAGTCAAATGGTACAGATGGTCGGTTCAGAGACCTCGTACCGACTCTCACATGAGGTGCCTCTCGATGCGGGACCCGCTTGATTAAAAATTGGTTCAAATTTTTTTCGCCCCCCCTGTGTGTGATCTGCCCCACTTATGTAACCCAAGCAATACTCTATATAAGTTTTCCACAATAATAGTGAAAGATAGGAACGTTATGTGCTAATTACCTCTACGACAACTATGTATAATATTATTCTTACTTGTACTTTAATAAAATATTCTTGAATGAGGAAAAGAGGACAAGATGATCGGGTTTAGTTGTTTAGTATTCATCGTCGCACCGTTGTTTTTTTTTTTTTCTTTATTAAAATCAAATAGTATCTATTCCACCTCACCAAACAAGGCTTTTCTAATATTCACTAGAGATTAACTTTAATTTGACCTGACTCTACTCGTGTTGTAACTTTTTTTAACCTTAAACATTGTTGTTACCGACTATTTTTGTACTCTATTAAATATTTTTTTCTAAAAACTCAAACAAAATAAGCCTTGTTTCGCCCCCATTAAATTTTTTTAAAATTTTTCTCTTTTTTAATTTTAATCATATATTCTCCAAATAAAATAATATTACACACAAATTTAAAATTTTTCATTATTTTTCAACCACACATTCTCTCATCAGTCACTATTCCAAAATTTATAAATTCTCCAAAATGGGGGGCCTAACAATGACTAAGTGAAAACTTATCTAGCCCCTATTTGACATCCTTTTAAATAAAATTTTTTTTGTACATACTCATTTTCAACCACACATTCACGTAATAAAATATTCTATACATGAACTTAAAATTTTTCCATACTTTTTAACCACACATTATCTAAAAATTCACTATTCAAAACATTATTTTTCTCAAATAATGATCATCAGACATGGGCTTTTTAAATTGTCTTCAACGCGTCACGGGAGTATACTGAATTAATTTATTTTATCAAAAGTTAGTTATTTTTATCATTTTCTTAAATGGCAAAAAGGGAACTTGAATTTAAAATATTTATTTTTTGCACAAATGTGATCAAACAAAACAAGAATGACAAGAAGCATCAACACAAGGAACAAACGATTAAAATAAGGGTAATTATATTACCACTACAAATTTTGTTAAGTACACTACAAATTTCTTATTTACTTAAATATCCTTAAATAAAATTACATAATTAGGATTTTAATATATTTTTTAATTAAATAAATTATTGTTACACCACAAATATAAAACCTAATTTCTTTCTTTCTTTTTCCTTAACATCTAATTGCTCATAGTTATTCCGGCGGCTTTTGCCTTCTTCCACGAAGGCAAGATAATTTTCTTTTCTTCACGGTAAATGAAAAATTCTGCACTAGTGCAAATGAAAAGTTAATTGTGTAAAAATTGGAATATGTCATGCAATTGATTATTGAATTTTTGTAAATCTGTCAAATTCGTTGCTGGTTTACAATGAAAACTGGAATCAATCAGAATGTGCGCCATTGATAATTCAATGAAAATTGGAACTTTATTATGAAAACTGGGAATTTATTGAATTCAATAATCAATCTGTGGTTGATACATTCAATGAAAACATCCTCTTTCTTCAAAGTAATGGCAGAATTTCTTATAATTTCTGCAATAATTATTTTGGATCCTCCCACCAAGAAGTCCGCGGTCTTTAGGTATATAATGGCAGAAGTTATTTCACCAGATTCAGAGTAACGAAAACACGATTTAGACTTGCAAAAAGGGCAAAAAAATTTTCTCAATTATCAGAAAATCAGTAAGACAATAACACAAAAGCACAAGTTACACGAAGGGGGAAAAAAGAAGGAAAAATCATTAATTAATATAATTATCATAAATCAATTTTTTTTTTCGAACCACTTAGCATAAACCAATTTTTGATTTATAATTTTAAATTCTGTAAATTACATGTTTAGTAAGAAGGAATAAACATTCATGAAATTGTTTAAAATAAAAAAAAAAACTAAAATAAACTATTTTTAGCCATTGTTTGGTAGAAATTAAAATCAAATTTTTAATAAATTTTGATAAAAGTTGATGAAATGTGTGATTAAAATTAATTGATGATTTTGACTTAAGATTTTAATTCAAACCAAACGGACCATAAAATCATACTCTTATCGAATATGTTTTAACTGCGTAGACTTAAATTAATTGAAAATTACTTTAAAAAATAACACATATGAGCAGATAAAAAAGAGACGTGCAATATTTAGCGATGAAAATTTCATCTCAGCAATTGCTTATTACGACTCTGAATTCAGTTGTCTCGAACTCAAAGGAAACTTTCGAACGAAAAATTTACACGCAGAATAATTTGACGCTCAATTTACATACGTATCTATTATATTTTTATATTATAGAGACTAATATGGCATATTCGACACGTTCAACTAGCAAGATTTGACACAATTACTGATAAATTAGGTCACATGTCTATCTTCATGAATTGTACCTAATTGTATCGAGTCTTAACTCATTAAACCAAGTCCTACTTTTATTAATTTTATGTGCATGCGCTAGACCCTTTTTCCTTAAACCCATCATTTATGGTCTACACACATAATACATATATGTATATGTATGTATAGGATTATACAAAAACCAGCTTGAGTAGATAAAAATATATATTTCTTCATTGGAAATCTAATTAATAAAAAAATTCTTAACAAACTTTTTAAAAGTTCGAGTCCGTCAATGGCTCACATGGAACCTCCCATCTTTCAAAAAGTAAAACAATAATCAATAATCAGAGGAAAAAAAACGACAAATATTCAGTATAAATAATTCAAATTGCATTTGGCTACACAATATTTAACCTTTGCAAGGTTAAATTCCCTTGCTAATTCACACGGTATTCTGTATGCTAACCAAAGAGGGAGGCTCAAACCCGCAGCTTCCATCTTGATTGGCGGAGTATGCCAAGAAAAAAAAAATTCACAAGGACTTACCAGCAGAAGCACTCGAGGACTCAAGAACAAAGGGTTTAGGGCAGTTACCCCCATTCTCCTGGCCATCTCTAGGACATGCTGTAGGCCTTTCTTTATTATTAGAAAGTACTGAGGAAATGGCGGCAGCAACAGCAGCCCTAAACTTAGGATCAGAAGCAATTGCACTTATATTTTCCTCCAAATGTTTATTAATATCATTATTCTCCTCACTTTTAGGCTCCATCCCTTCTCCTAGTTTTGAACCAGGAAAAAGCTGGTTAGTTCCACTTCCGTCATACTTGCCTGGTTTAGGCAGCCAAGAATATCCCGGCTGTCCCGTAGATTGTCCTGTACAGTACTGTGAAGGGCCAGTCCCAAGAAACTGTCGGTCACTGGCATTGTTTGTGAGATCAAGAACAATAGCCTTTGAAGGGTCATTACGGTGCATGCTTCTTAGGTATGGAGTAGATGGCATATTGATCATATTATAAGGATTAGGGTATGGGAAATGTGTCTGGTTTGAGGTTGACATTCCATCCAAAAATTGGTTGCTCGAATCGACTAATGAGAAGGATGCTGATGCACCTGACGCGATTGATGCCATCGATGTTGCATCAACAGGTAGGGGATGATTGTGTGTTCCTTCATATGTCGTGATGAGTGTCGACATGTCCTCCAAACATCTTTGTACCTAATATCATGTCAATTGCGTTACTCAACATCTAAAACGTCCATTATATAAAATAAACAAATCAAGATGGTGTGAAAAATTTCGAGGGGAAATTAAATTTTTCGTTACCTGCTTTCTTACTGGGCATCCAAGAGCTACAGTGCAACGATAATAAGCTTTTGGGCAAGGATTTCCTTTAGCAGTCTTTTGACCATACTTTCTCCATTGACATCCATCATTTATCTAATATGTGTTTAAGCATAAATTTTTATTCTTGAATCTTGTAGAACTCAATAAAACAAACCCACAAACACACACCCTATGTCATGGATTGAACTCTAATCCCTACTAAAGAAAGAGATAAAAGCAAATGAAATTGAAAACAAGCAAACATACAAATTCAAAGTGGTTCACCCTCAACATGAGAGTCGACTAGATAATTTTGCAGCACAATTATGCTCCACACTTCTAACATTCTACACACATAGAGAGAGAGAGCGAAACTCACTGTGGCTGTTTCACATCTGGCTCTGATTGAAACCCTAGATCTCTTACTGGATGGAGATGTAACATGGCTTGTAGTTCCAGGCAAGTTGCTGCTTCCATGTAGCGCACCTTGTATCTTTGTAATTAATCCCTCTCCATTTTCCTTTTTCTCCTTTTGCTCATCTTCTCTCTCTACTTTTTTTTGAGTGCTCTTCAGTGTCAATGACAACTCTAATTCAGTATTATCACTCACATCATCTTCCCGTCTTAATGGCGGCAACGCCGTTTGATTCTTGATATCAAATATCTTTGGACTTCTGTCTGGCTCTTGATCACTCGGCTCATCAATTCCATTCAGTGAAAGGAACATTTTGGGATCCTAAATCAAATAAACAATGAAATTTCAAATAAAAAAGCTATAATTGTCATAGACTGAAAATCAAAAAGGATAAGTAGGTGTATAATATGATTAGGCTCAGGATTGCTACCTTCTTTTGGTTATTTTTTTCGATCATAGCAACTTTGATTTGTAGATCATAACAATCCTTCATAGTTTGTTCTACTGAGCTCCTTAATATCTTATTCTCCTCCTCCATCTGATTTATCTGCATCTGTAAAATGGACAGCTAACAGAATTTTACAGTTTGATTAGTCATTGCTTAAAAACAAGGCCATGCATGTACTTATGTAAATACACAAACAAATTCTATACCTTTTCCCTCTTCGAGTCATCCAATGAGTAATATTCAATGGATTTCTGATCATCATCAGCTATAATTTCTTCGGATTTTTCTTTCAGTTTGTTTTCGATCTGGAATTCTTTTCCTGCTCGATTCATCTGCAATTGAGGCGGCTGCTCATCGGTTTTCGCTTCTTCTTTTGAATCTAGCTTAAGGGATAGATCAATTTCCATTTCATGATCAGTTTCTTCTTCTAGTTTTTCCATGTAGACATACAAAACTTGATGGTACCGAAGTCAATTCATCTGTCTCAAAGATATTACTCATCTATATATAAGTAGAATGCATCTAAGTTTTGACTTTAATCTTGATCCTTAATTAACTCAATTTGTCGTAAGCTACTTAGAAAAACCTAGCTAGCTCTTTATAATTTTTCTTGTCATTGTGAAATAACTAGAGTGCCCCTCAAATTGCCTCTTTCTCTCCCTTCCTTGATCACTGATTGATTAGAGGTTGATTGTATTCGTTTTTCAATTGCGCCTTTCATTAGCGTTGCCACTGATACATTACTATAAGCTACTGATTGCCTTGTCGTAGGAAAAAAAAAAAAAAGCAGTTTCGTGTGACCATTAAAAACGAGAGAGATACGACATATAAGTAGGGGTGGGCAAAACCAAAACCAACCCGCCTAAACCGCCCAAACAGACCGGTTTGGATCGATTTTTTTTTTATTATTATTATTTTATAGTTGAGTTGGGTTTTGGGCGAAGAAGTCAGGTCAGGTCACGGGTTAATCCAAGAAAACCGATTTAACCCGACCCAGTTAGTTTTTAAAAAAAAAAAAAGACGCAACTTCATTCCAAAAGGCAAAAGTCCCGGGACAAACAAGTTACAAAACACAATTATACAAACCTAACCTAATAAT